CTGGTGTAGTATATATTATACACACATACATACGTAGAACTTCGTAAATAATTTGATTTTCCTAAATATTTTTCGAAAAAGTCCCCATGACTAGGATTCAGTTTAAGTTATGCATACATAGGGGTGAAAATCGGACTCATAGGATCGGAGTTTAAATTTTCATTTTGTTGTTTCCATAAGTGAAAAACTAATCACAAGCCCATCCAGAAATTTTGGGAGAACCGAAACAAGACTTTCCTAGATCGGGATGATTTTTTTTTTCCAACATAAAAATATTACGGGTTGGAATTGGCGGAATTCAATTTTCTTTTTGTTCACATATATTATAAAATACATAATATTGATATTGCAAGGCACGTGTAGTTATTGGAAAACAAATCCGGAAATTTTGAAATTATTTTGGGACAATAAAAATTGATCGAAAATCAGAATCTTATCTGTATTCCAATTTTGATCCTAAACAATTATAAATAATTAAAAAAGAAAAATCGAAATTTTCAAAATTCAGGAAAAGCTATTGTTTCAAAATTGAAAAAATAAAATAGATTGAAATTGGTGGAATTCGAAAATTGCGTTCCAATTTCCATGTATACCTTTCACTTGGATTATCAATTTTGAGTCATTGAGTTGAAAACTATCTTTGCCTAACTCAATCATGTCGTGAATGGTGGGCAAGATTTTTGAAACGCCTATTTGTTTAAAATATATATTTTTATCCTTTTATTTTATTTAGTCTTATATCCTATTTTGTCTTCTCTCTAAACAACCACCATCTAGACAAATTCATTACTACCTTGGTTTAAAATTTCATTATTCTAATCTTTTGCCACAATACAAAGAATATTTTATTTGATTATAATATACTGTTAGGTGGTTGTTATTGTACAAACAAATTAAATTTGTATTTCTATTAATTAAGTTTGGTAAACGACTTTTCTTTGAATTAATATTTATCACGCGACATGCATAGATAACTACCCACTTTACATACATACAGCTCAATATGTATGTACGTATAATAGTGAAAAACTGCTTGGTACATTTGATCGGGTTAACTAGGGGTGAAAGTCGGATGGATCGGATCGGAATTAGCCTTTTCGGAAAATTTCCAAAAAAATTCGGAAGTACAAAATCAATTCCAATTCCAATTCCAAAATTTTCGGAATCTAAAAATTCATTCCAATTCCAAAAGTCCCGGAAATTTCGGAATTTCGGAAAAAAATCGGAAATCATATAAGCTTTAAAATTTCAAAACTTAGTTGAAATTTTCTAAAATGTTCATAATTTTTCGAAAATAAGAGCATCCACGTCGATAAAAGTAAAACTAATAACTACTAAATTTCAGTTCAAAAAAATAAATAAAAATAAACACGGCATAATATCCAATAAAACTTCTAACAACAATTCATTATGTCAAAATCCTAAAACAAAACTTATATGTGTATTTTTCGATAATAAGTATTGTATAATATACACTATTTATAGGTGTATTTTTCGGAAAAAATCGGAATTTTTCGGAATTAATTTCGGATTAATTGGATCGGAATCGGAAATTCCAAATTTAT